GACGCAGGCAGTCATACCCGCCAAGTGCGTACATGTGGGTGCGGACAAACTGATGGGGCACAGTTGCGTGCGCGTGTCGGCTATAAGCCTCGAGGGCTGCTCGGATTCAATGGGCGTTCGAAGGTGTTCTGGTTTGTGTAGATACTGTAGTACCCATCACCGCAGAAGCCGTTCACGATTGAGTATGTCGTATGCCCTATAGACTGTAACAACATGCTCGGGCGCTTACGTCGAACCTACACGAGCATGTCAACGACATGCTCGGGCGCTTACGTCGAACCTACACGCGATGCTCAACCACAAGCGCTTATACTTCCTCTACTCACGCACAAAAAGGTATGGCAATCCCACACTACAAGTTGTTTGCAACTAGGATCCAGATTTCTCCCAGCATCTTTGGGTGAGAGCTACAAGGCTATCAGTGCCTGTTTGCTTTGTGCTTGAGGTTTTGTGGGCTCGTGGTAAGGGTGTCCGCATGCATTTCGCTTGCAGTGCAGCATCGAAACTCTCAACTCAAAACTGAAACCCAGCCCCTTTGGTTCTCCGACGTAGCCAGCCAAAGCCCAGAAGCGCACAGCCAAAACAGGCCCGACTCAACCAGCAAGGAGTTCAAAAAAAAACCCAAAGTGGAAACAGCTATTGTCATGCTACCTATGGTCTCCGTTGTAGTTCCTTTTTTAGGTTTGACCAAATATATGATTGGGACCCTATATAAGGCAACCCCAAAAAGGAGCTACAATGGAGACTATAGGTATTGTTGAACACCTTTGCATGGACGTATCTAAGGTTATGAGAACCCACGAGCCGCAGAACATCAAAAGCGCATAAACGTCAAAAGAGAAGACCTACACCCAAAACCCTGTGAATTCCCTAAACCCTTTCAGGCCTCAACATCCCTAGACTCTTAAACTCCCAAACCGGAGGGAACCTTAAGATCACAGGGACCCTTAGGGGGGGAGGGGGGGGGTAGGGGGAGGGGGCCATAATGCCCATAATCAGGATTTAACAAGGATTATTTGAGGAAGTATAGTCCCCTACCCCCCACCCCCTGCCCCCCTAGGGGTCCCTATGATAAGACGGTGTGTCAGGCCTGGAAGCCCTTCTGCAAAGATGTGATGGGCTTTTCTGCAGCGCCAGGCAGAGCCGCTTTGGAGGGGCAGGAGTTAATATTAGGGTGTATAGGGTTTTTAGGGTTTAGGGGTTTAGGATAGAGTTTGGGGTGTTATAGGGCTGTATACGGGTTTTTCTAGCGTGTTTCTAAAGGTTTGAAAGGGTTTTGAATGCACAATAGTGCAGCAGCCTAGCCACCCCAACGACATACACATACGCTCACAACACCCTTCTAAGTTTCTAAGTATTTGGGTCTCGACCTTTGTTCTTCTAGGTTTATAGGATTCATCTGGCTCAGGGCTTCCGGTTGTTGCTTTGTGTGTCACAGGATTTCTCTATGCTGTTTCGCGGTTTCGGGCACGGCGTAGGGTTTCACACACGGCGTGCAAGAGGTACCGTAGAGACCTAATCCCCCAAACCCCATAGGGCCTACAGCACACCCCTTAAAGTTGGAAACCGGATTAAGGCCAAGTAGCGCTGGAATTCCCCATCCATGACTATTACGGATTGAGGCTATTGGGCAAACCCCATAAGGCCTATACCCTATACCCTAAACCCCAAAAAGCTGCAGTGGGGTGCCCTTTAAAGCTGTCAGGTTCCCGAGCGCTTGGACCGGAAAGGCGACACGAAGAGCATCAGGGCTTACCTATATGGGAGTTTCCGAAAATAGGGGGTAGCTTAGGGTTCCTTTAAAGGGTTACTATAAGGGTTCCTTCAAAGGGCTCTTTTAGGGGTTTAGAGTTTCCGAAAATTAGGGGTACCTTATTGGGGGTCCTTATAAGAAGGAGCCTACTATTTAGGGTACTATGATATTAGGGTCCCCTATTTTCCGAGACCCCCAAATGCCCGCGGGTTTCGTTTTGCTTCTTAGAGTTTACAGTCGGAGCTTCCGAGCGTGGCTAAGGAGATGTAGGTTCAGAAGTTTGGGTTCTGGATGGAGCCGTATAGTCGAGCCCAGAGACTCCAATATCCCTTAATTAAGGAATATACCTTAAATCATATTAGGGATCCTACTATAATTTAAGGTATATTCCTTGATTACGGGACATTGGAGAATCCGGGAGGTCACTGGTTTTATGGGTAGCATGATGAGGGAGACCCCTCAAAGGGTACCCCTTTCGAACCCTACTTCTGACTCTCTTGAAAGGGACCTTACTGAGAGGGTCTATATCCCCGCGAGGGTCCCCCTAATCCTAACTCCCATTTTAACGGTTCCGAGACTGAGTTGAGGTAAGCAGAGCTTGTGATTGTTCGGCATCCCCAGGGCCATTTGCACCGACATACCGTTGATGATCTAAATCCTGCTCTACCTTAAGGACCTTAAAACTATGGGAATTATGGTAAATTCCTTATTATGGGTAATGCGGGATTTATATATATATATATATATATATATCAACCGTAGGTCAGCGCTGGGCTAGACATTTCAGCAGGGAGCCGAAGTTTGGAGCAACCCGTTCATCCTGCAGAGGGCGAGGATTTGAGACGTAATACAGGGGCCTGAATGATTACCCATTTTATGGTTGGGATTCCTTATTATAATTATAGCATAATGGCCCCCAAAGCCCTATTCTAATTATTAACGCCCCCATTTTAGGTTTCGAGAGATTTGCTCGCTGTTTCTCGGTTCTCAGGGGCTTGTCGTCGGGTGCTTTGTGCTCTCCACCTTGTCACTCTCGGAAGAAACCTGTAGGGCAGGCTCGTCTTTGCTAGGTATGCGTCCAAAACTCTAAAGCCTTGACTTCTGAACTCTTAACTCCGGAGAGTAACTCTGCAACCCTGGACGCCACATGCTGTTGCACAAACTTTCCCTAATTTGAGCGGGGATTTGCTGAAATGTTTCCGGTGCCCTTTGTGTGTTACATCGAAGTACTGGCAAGGCGCAGCAAGTGTGTCCGGCACCGAAAGCCTAAACATGTGAGTGGTTTGGTTGTTACTTCGGATTGGCTGCTTGGGTTGGGTGCAAGGTCGTGTTGGCGGCGGTGCGCTTATCTCCGGTGTGTGATCTATGGGTTATAGTTGGGTTGAGGGTGTTTCCGGTCCGGTCGAGCACAAAGGGCCAGTCGTCGTGAAGTTTGGTGTGAGAATGAGAATCGAAATCCTTAGCACTGAGCCTGAAACCCAGTATGTAGATCCTAGCCAAACCCTTGGCCCGAAACCCCGAAAAACACCAAACCCTATAAATCCTATAAAGATCCCTGAGCCCGAAACCCTATACCCCTAAACCCTATAAGCCCTATCCATATATATATATATATATATATATACATATGTGATCCATAAGCCTGAGACCAAGCCGGTATGGTGCAGGCCGGCCTGCCATCGGCGCTGGCAAGCCTTCTGAAGGATGCTTCAGACCCAGACCTGCCTTTAGGGTTTATAGGGGTTTAGGGGTTTAGGGGTTTCGGGTTTGTAGGGGTTTAGGGTTTAGGGGTTTAGGGTTTAGGATTTAGGGGTTTAGGGTTGAAGGGTTTAACCCAGAGCTGCCTTGAGGAATAGTCGGTTTAGGGTTTAGGGAGCCCTCTTAGGTTCCTAATATCGGGGCCTTAACAATTACCTAGACTGTTTTTGGGGGGTTCCCTCATTATGGTTATAGCATACTGGGCCCCCAAACCCGATTCTAATTCTTGCGGCTTAATGCAACTATACTAGGTTATTGTTAAGACTCCCAGGTAGAAAACCCGTAGCTAAAGGAGATTCCCGGGGTTTCAGTAGGAATCCCGCATCGTCCTGAAATTTGTGTATCTGAGCAGGGGTGCTGGGTCAAGGACCTTTGAAGGAGATGTTTCTTGTCATAATCGTGCGTTAGTAAGGATCATAACTAGTCGATCCACCGTCGCTACCACTGCTGCCAGCATCATCATGCGTCTGGGTGGCATCTGGAGTACGGATACCTCCTTGTGACACGGCCAGCAGTCTCCATTGTTGGACGCCAGAGACCAATCGAACCGTTAATTTCCACACTGCCAAGATCTCCACCACTCCGACTGCTTGCACTGCTGCTTGCCTTTCAGTATTTGGGATTAGAGTGTTGCTCCCACCCTCCATGATAGTACTTCTCACTATCACGTGGGTTGCAATCGTTGGCACTAGTTGGTACGATCAGGTTTGTGCTGCCGTGGTAGGGCGTGTGCTTGTCGCTGTGACGACTTTTGCCCAAATCTCTGAAACATCTCGCCGCCCGCTGGTAGCAAATGCTGTGCAAGCCCACTGCAGGGACTCGCACAGCCTCAGGCATTGTAGCTGGTTGTCAGGACTTTTGACAGAGGACGCCTTCACTCACACCGGATATGCGCAAATAGCTTTATATTTGTGCCATCGGTGGGCCTCAAAGGCTCAAAGCTACACAACATCACAAGGGTCTTGGACAGACCAACGACCAACTCGGTGAGAGCAAATGGACGTCAATTCCAAGTCCTGGCCCAGCCCTAAACCCTTTAAGTGCCAAACTTGGTGGGCATTAAACACATTATGACGAAACGTCCCATGCCCGAGATCCTGCGTTGAAGCTCGAAAGCCATAACACTGGAACCCCCCCCCCCCCAATAAAACAAATCCTAGACTCCCTGAGCCGTAGCCATACAGGGGAACCTATGAAACCCATAGAGCAAGAAAAACCTCCTTGGGCGCTACAACAACTTTATATAATTCGTAATCATCAAGCCGAAGCCATGCCTTCCATCGAGTTGCCTCCTCGCCAAGACGCTTGGTTTGCATCCCATGGGCGATCCTGCAAAGGTTCCAGAAAAGTGGCTTCCTAAACATATGGGGCGGCTTATGCAGGGGTCCCAGGACGTGACGAGGGATGCTTCCTGAATATGCCGGAATCAACGGCCCAAAACCAAACACTCCCCACTAGGATGTGGAGCCTCGGGTTTTGAGAAGGAAATTGCGATTCCTTGTAGCGCCCCACAATTTCGGGGCTTGTTGAAACAAACGTCCTTCAGGCCCTCAAAGGGTATTCCACTTTTCAAGCATAGACCCCAACAGGGACCTGTACACAAAGCTTCAACGGCCCCATGAGTCGTCTTGAAATCAGGCTCCTAAACCACTGACGCCAGATAAGTCTGGAATCCAACACCCTAAGCCCCGAGCCAGACATAGTAGAAGAGGGTTTTTCCCCTCAAGAGAATCATCCTTATTGGCTTCCTCCCCGACGTCATCATGTTCGCAACACTGTTCGTTAGGGCTCTTGAATATAATCATAGTGTAGAGCCCCGCAACAACTGACATAGCCTCGCGATTCTATCAGCTAAAGTGACAGCCACGTGAAGAAGCTGAGTTCTAAACCCCATAACCCAAAACCTCCGCACCCTCATCTGGCGAGTCCGACTTTCGACAACCGCACCCATACGCCCTGAACCATTTAACCCACATCCCAACACCCTGTCCTTGCCAAGTAGGAGGGAAAAAACATCCCAACACCCTGGACTGGACCCCTCCATCAGAGGAAGAGTCGACGATCCATGAGGAGGAAACGAAGAACTTGAGCCTCGGAGTCGGTCCAAGAGGGGGCTTAGGGTTTAGGGATCTAAATAGCCCTAAAAGCCTTATATAGTATGGTCTTTGGGCCCAAAAGCCTTAGTATATGAGCCCTTCGATCCCTAGGGTTAGGGTTTAGGATGATCGCGTGTCATGTTCTTAGGCTGAGGTTTTTGTGTTGTTTGACTGTTTGTGTTGTGTTTTCATATTCAACTGTGGACTCAGAAGCATTGATGTACAGGTGGGCGTCAGGTTTTTTCTGTCTAGAGGGTTTGAGCCCAGGATGTCTTATATTGGGCTTGTTTGAGGGTGCATAGACGGTTCATTAGGATGTGAGTCCGTGTATGGAGCTTTCTGGGGATGCTAGTAGCAAAAAACCTGCCGGCAGAAAGAACCATACTTTATAGGTGCCCACCATAGAGCTCACAAGTGAGCGCAAACTGGGGCCTTTGTCATCGTATATCCATTTACACGATAGTCGGCATATTAAGAGTAGACTCTATAACAGCACAGTACAATCTACGCCACATACTCTAATCATACCGCTCCCTTTGTGACGTGGCTATGCAGAAAGTCAAAACTATCGGTCCCTGAAATTAACTCGGTTTGGTCCCGGTCTCGGCCCATCGCCCGGCTTAAGGATTGCCAACAGAAGCCGCGGCAACGATAGCAGCGGAGGCGCCCAGAGCTATGCTAGGGCAGCATGGTTTGCAGTTCATTTTTGGACTGGTTCCACTTCTATTTACACTTCCCGGCGCCGAGATGCACAGTAGTTTTATTCAGGGTGAAGTTCCGGAGCAGTCGCGCGGACGTTTCAGGACTTGACACCGTGTTGAGATAATCTAGGTCCTTCAGAGACCAGCTGAACTCATTGCTCGCATAAGAGGCGTTAAAGTCACCAGGATGCCCAGTAGTACCCTTATTCCCTTTTTATAGTCCTAGGTTCCTTATAAACTTACCTAATACCAAAAAAGGGGAGCCCTGTCTCTTCCTACTTGTAGGTTCCTATCCTTATAAAATTACCCAATACCAAAAAAGGGGAGCCCTTTCTATTCCTAGGTTGCTGGGCATCCTAGAGGTCAACCCCAGGCCCGGCAGGCCTTCAGCAACGAGCGTGAATGTCTCATGAGCAATCCTATTCTCAACACGTGGGTGGTTGTCAAAACTAGGGTCCCTTTGTGGGTCCCTAATATAATACGGCACCTAATATTTAGGGTACCTAACAAGGGACCCTAATTTTGACAACCACCCACGTGCCTCAAAACTGACTCAACACCCATTCCCGTTTAGAAGCTCCAAAACCTTAAGCTCCACTCCTTGCGCCCTGAAGGGGACAAAGTACGCCCGAACTGTATTGGCAATGCCGACGGCGATCTCGAGAACCAGGTAGGAAGAGGCCCTTGGCGCAGGGGCTTGTGTGGTCAAGGGCATCAGGATCTAGTAATCTAGGGGCTTCGGATGCAGGCCGGAATCGACCGGACTTCATTAGTCATTTCATAGTTAGTATAGGGCAAAGGCCATGTCATTGTTGGACACTGGCTTGATGTTGTGGAAGTGGTCTCAAGGCTCATGTACATGAACTCATCAAACTTATCTAAACTGCACAAAAACACCAGCCCTGAACTCGCATTCACCCCAACGCTGTGAGCCCCTAATTAACCCTACAACCCTAAGCGCTGAATCCGGCTCTGGGAAACCCTCATCTGACCAGAAGAAGCCGCTACGTAACCTAGACTATGTGCTTGTGCCTCTTGATTTGTCCGTAAGCGTGGCATCTTGAACTTGCCGCTATTTCACCCCTAGTGCTATGACAGGCAAGCTTGTCCGGCTGTATCAGCAGCCTCTCGGCATGCCCTGGTGTTGATGCACCAGGTGGTCCGTTTTTCTTTTCAGGCGGATCAGACTTTGGCCTATAGTTCTAGAAAACTCTACAAGTAAGTCTCTAGTTGACGATGCACCTCGCATGTCCCTCGCAGATGCGGTGATTGCATTAAAGGACTCGAGGTTTTCATGTGCGCGCGTCCAGTGGGACTCTCATGTTTTCACGTGTTGCGGAGTTGGCCTCGCAGAACTCTTCGGACTTCCAGCTACAGTAAGCATTGAGAATTGTATGAAGAGGTACTGAAGTCATGTGGTTGTGCAAGTCTCCTAGTCCTGCCTCTCCTGTTGCAGGGTTTTGTGGCTCCACCAACTTTTCGGTGGCGATCCTGTCTCTCAGCGTGCTATCGAACAAACTATCTATCTATTATGTATAAAAACATATATATATATATATATATATATTTATTTATTTATTTAACTATATATTTATTTATTTATTGTACATACAATTACATACGTATGTGTGTGCGCAGTGTGTGTGTATATATACACATATGTATGTGTGTATACATAATATACATACACACACACGTAAAACCTGTAAAGTAAATAGCCTTTATAGGTCCCTTCATATGGTACCCTCTAAGTGATCCTTATCCTAGTTGTTAAGGCGCCCATATTGAATTTGCAGTGACTTCCTTATCGGAGGCGAGAGTCGGGCCGCAAGCAAACGTGAACCTCTGTGCCTGAGCGCGGCAGTTTTCTCTTGCTGAAGATCCCTAGGGCTGCAGTTGAATGGCGGGTTACTGGGGTATATGATACGGTTATATAGAAACCTGCTATTCCCTGTGGGATGATAGTCTTTGCATATTGCGAAACAGCAGATCGTACTTGTGACAGGAGTTGTAGTGGCATTGTAAGCATCTCCTCGCAATTCCGCGAACCTTGCCCCAGAATGGCAGCAGTGGCTAGGCTGGCTCTGGTATGCCTACTTTGCACAGCTAACTCCCAAAGCCCAGCTTGTGGCAACGAGTCCACGTGCGTAG